CTTTGGGACTATCACTCAATGAATGAGTGAGTATGCATGTTATTTTGATTTCCATTTTAAGATATTAGGTGACTCAATTGGTCATTTTGTTACCTCCTTCAACCAACAGCTCCCTGAGCCATTTCACTTGCAGGAGAGCATTGGTTTAGTTGTACCTGTGCAGAGATTTTTGTTTGTTTGTTTCTGTTTGTTTGTTTGTTTGGTGTAAATACTCTCTTAACTTGTGGGGTTCTTTTAGAATAAGTTTCTTAATTTCAAAAATGGTGACATTCCCTTGGTCCTGTAATATGTTAAAACAAAAACAAAGTCTCGTCTAATTTGGAATACCACTGAGAACGTAGATTTCCTAGCAACCTATGAAATGTATATTGTGGACATTTAACTAGAGATAACACAATTAACCTAAACCTGATCTTTTAATATATATTATATATAAAATATTCACTTCTATGACCAGAGGAAAGGGTGCTGGCAGAGAGAAGAGAGGAGCTCTGTTTTAAGGGAAGCTATGTAGCCAGATGCCTAAAGAAAATGACCAACTATCTTGTGGTTTTAATTGAATATAGCATATTACTCCCAAAAATTATGGCCAAAGGACTTGCTATATTAAAAAGTAGAATTAGGCAGGAAAAAAGAGACACAACGCTATCATCAAAGTGGCATTCTCTATGTAGAATCAAACCAACCCAATCTATCACTGATTCCTCAATTAACTATAGCATGTCCTAACTCCATATTTTGGCTCACAGTGTGTCTTGATGTTATGTGTTGTTGGAAAACTTGTAACTGATGCATGAGTGTGCTCTCTGTTCAAACTGTTTCTAATATATAATTTCCTTGTCCAGTGTGCTTTCAATAAGGGTACCTAGTTCTTTGAGGATATTTTGTCAGAATGATGCAAATAAAGATGTGGACTATTTATTTATTAAAAGAGATTATCCTGCAACACCACCCTACTTATAACAGTTGCTATAATGAAGAGGACAATGCGATTATTATTTTTCTGACAAAATGGAATCTTTAAATAAGCAATGGGAAGGAATGGGTGATCTAACAGGAATAGTCCTCCGCTGACATTCCTTTTTGTGGGGGATGTGTTTACAGGTTTTGACCTGGAAAACCTCCTGACATAAGAAGCTCCGTATCCACTCCTCACCCCACCCTCCAGCTGCAAAGGCTTTTTTCCTCCAATAAATAAATATTAATGCACAGACATTTCTTGATTTTGTGTCTTAATGTGTTTTGCCATGCCCTCTTTCCCAAAAAATAGTATTAGAGTAATAAAACTTGGGAAAATGTATATCCATCCTTGAAAAAAAAAATCTCCGAAGAACAGGCAAAAGAATTGCATTGGCCCCATTAGATAGTCAAACACACTGGAGCCTCCTAACAATGGGCCAGGGCATGAAAGGTCCATGTGCCGAAAGAAGGACACTACCGTCAGTTTCTCAGACTACCTTCTGTAAGAAGCAAAGAGAAAGAATCAGAAAATTGCCCAGCTTCCATGCATTCCATTTGGACTTAAGCAGTACATTTGCTTTTGAACTTTCAAGCTTCAGTCTCAGTCTCCAGGGTGCCCTCTTCCCTTGTTACGTGTGAACCTTTCCTTGTAGACACCCGTTGGGGACTGTATTAATAAGACGTATTGTAGAAAAAGAAAACACATTTTCCAAGCCAAGAAGGTGAGAACTACTTTTTCCTAGGGCCCTTGTTAATCTTTGGGAGCCCAGCATCTTCTGAGGCAGAACAAAGGCAACACAGGTGTAAATTCTTATTTTTTTTTTTTTCACTCCACAAGGAAAATGTTATTGATATGTCAGTGTTCAGCTACATTTCTCTTAAGAGAAAGCAATATAATATTTCTTCCTTCTGTCCTAAGGTTTTAGAACTTGATTCCCATTGCTTTCCAGCATCATTCTAAATAGAACCCCACTGTTTGGCCATGGCCAGAATTAGCTTGAATGGTACCTGTTATTGAAAGGGAGTCTGTATTTGCAGTAATACAGAGAATGCCAGTTTAGAAATGAGCCTGATTGCATGGTTCATTTTGTTCTCCTTTGTAGAGCCAGGCTGCGGCCCACTACAAAGGCACGAAACATGCCAAGAAGCTCAAAGCACTGGAAGCCATGAAAAATAAGCAGAAATCTGTAACTTCCAAGGACAGCGCAAAGACTACCTTCACCTCCATCACTACCAATACCATCAATACCAGCTCTGACAAAACAGGTTAAGCGATGATCTTTGTTGTTGTTGTCCTCGTCATTGTTGTTTGGGGGTTCCCTCCCTTGTCTAACACCATGTCTGTTTACTTATGTATCTGCCGCATTAATTCACACTTGAACCATCTTTCTGTAGAATGGCGATTGTTTCCCCTCGTTTTTCCAATACCCTTAAGAGATTAAGATAATTGCTAGTTATATTCCAGATTTTGCATTCTGAAAGAGTCCTATGGCTGTTTTTAGAAGAACACAATAATCATAAAAGGCATTTGAAGCTGTGTCCACCCTAACGCTTTTTGAGAAGTGAACCTTTTCAGTGTGTAGCGTTTGCATCTTGTGTGCAGCACTTTAGCTTATACCTGTGTGGCAGATTTGATTTAACTGTGAGTATACAGCAAAGTATGCTAAATGAATTGAGAAGGCCCCAATAAGGGCATTATTACTGACAGGCTTTATTCTCATAAATTCCAAACACTGCATTGTTTTAAGTAGTGGCTGTGCGATTCTGGGCTTGTTATGGCTGGGTAACCTTCCCTCTGCATACACAGGTAAGTGTTATTGATACCAATTACTCTTTTTAACAGAGTCTTCACAGTGAAATAATGGCCTCTGAATGGCCCCTTGGGATAGCTTCTGCAAACAACCAGCTTATTCACGGCAGGGGAAGCCAGTGGGGTTTCCCTAAGCTGGCATTTTAAATATAAGACCCCTGGTCCTCAAATTTCACATAAAAAGAAATCCTGTGTGCTTCATGGATGTACCTAAAATAAATCATATTCTAGAACACAAGGACTGGTACCTGTCAATTGTTTTCCAGTCCGTGCAAATGGCAATGGTGAGGAAATAAATGTTCATGTCATCACTGATGGTAATGTCGTAACTAGAAAAGAACCTTCTGGCCAAGACTGATGAAAATAGAAAATTATAAATAGTGAACAAATAGGACAGATTAAAACAACTTTATTACACATGTAGGCTCCTGCAAGCATCTGGGGTGATGCTTTCTCCCATGTGAATCTGTAAGGGATAATGATTTTCTCTCTGAGTTCCCATGGCACATTGTATGTCCTTTACCCAGGTACTATTAGTAGATGCATCATGCCCCTCTCCCTGAGAACCCTGTGTGCTCCTCAAGGCTGAGTGCATGTGTCATCTTTGTCCCCTGGCACCTGGTCTGGCAGGTGCAGGTGCTGAGTAAAATGTCTATCTACATTTTCTTTTACCCCTTTGATTCTCTGATTTATCCAAGTTTGTGCCACCACATACTAAAGGGGAAAAAGGAAGTGCTGTCATATTTACTTCTTTTGTATCCAGAGCAAGAGCTGGATTATGTCACTTTATTAATTTAGCTGTAAAACCTTATAGGAAATCCATTTGTCTTTTCTCTAATAATTGAAGACTCACTGCTTTATTTGGGGAGGGGGGCTCTAGGGGAATGAGTG